TTTCAATAGGAGAGTCCACGGACTTGATTCACACCCCCCCCTTCCCAGTGGTCTCAAAAATGGTTGGAAACAAGTATTTGTTTTTCATGGGAAAAAAAGCAAAATCCCCTCAACTTTTAGGTGTTTTATAGAGTACTCAAAATATACACTTAGGATGTGTAATCAATCTCGTGTATAGAAACAGCCTAGTCCTTCAGATCCTATCTGTTCTACCTAGTAGCTACTGGTCTACAACTAGATCAGGGTTTTTTGAGCTCACATCACAATGGCAAAACCCAAGCTGGTCAAGAACTTCCCTGATATTGACAGAGCACTTAACCAAACTTTTGCCAGGTTCCTGAACCTTCTCCCAGGCCCATCTGTGTACTTCCTTGCATATTCTAGTTTTAGCAAGAAGTCTGCTTCGGTCAGTTTAAGCAGTAGCCCCTGCCCTTGACGTCCAACCAGATTGTACATCCATCAGCATTTCCCACGTGATGCTCGATCACCCTGGCCTGTCATCAGCAAGAAGCCTGTTAGGTTCATTCAGCCGGAGTCCCCATTACCCCCGTTTCCTCTTCCTAACTTTCCACCTACTGACTGCTGCACCATATGCCCTGGCTATAAACTCTTACTTACCCACACTACCACCAGATTTGAGCTCACTCTCTCTACGACACTGTAAAATCCCATTGCTATACCTACTGCAATGATCCCAAATAAAAACTGTCTTAGCATCTTTTCACAAATGTCACTGAATACTTTTTTTTTCTCCATAAACATCACATGGAAGCATTACGAGTATGCCAATGCTCGCATACATATGCGGACTGATTTCTGTTTGCCTTGAATATGCCAATAGGCTCTACTAAGGTCTGAGGCCCCAGGTCTTCCCATCTCGTCATCTCCTTGGCCACCTCTACTTCCTGTCCCTGTACCATCTCTTCAGAAATCCTTCATACAGCCATCAAACAGAACATCCCCTCTAGGAATACTCCTTAATATTAACACTGGATGGTTCCATTAACTTCTATCCTGTCATTTTGGCAAATGGCAGGAATAAAACCTCTGGTGTTCCCATTTTATAAGCCTCCCACCCGCCTCACCGCCCAATGAGCTTTCCTAGGTTTGTTAAGAGCCAACACAACTCTCATCTTTTGAAGAACCCAGGAACTCACGGGAGTTGGCATTGGCGATTTCATTGGTCTCGTTGGGGTCCAACCAGACCTTCTTTTTGCCACAGCGGAGGACGCTGGAGGCAAGCCTCTTCTGAAGCCTGAGCATACTGTGAGAAACAGAAAATACCATCAGGCCCTAGAAGCCATACCGGCGCAAAAATTAGCACCCCCAGAAGACCTGCCCCTCGACGTCTTATAATGTGAAAAAGTCACACATGGGGAAGTAGATGCGAACGTGCACTTAGTGATCAGGGCCAACACGTCCCCCTACTCCGAGACTTTTGCCATCCACACCTCCAGGTTAACCATCTTTCCTATATCGAGGTCCTTCTTCTCTGGAAAATGTGGCGGCTTACGCTTGTTTTGGTATTCAGTCTAAAAACAAGTGTTTAACAAAATCCCGAGGCCAGTAGACCTGATCTGTGCTAGTTGTGTTTTGCTTCCTGGGCTCCTTCCCCCCCCCCCGCCCCCCGCCCCGTCTTATCACATTAATAAGCTAATTTCAGGCGGTCTTAGAGTTTTCTCTTTTTTAAATCCTCATCCGTGGGTAATTTTACTTATTTTGGAGAAACACTGATGTGAAAGGCCAAACACCGATCGGTTGCCTCCCAACGCACGGCAGACCGAAATCGCAGGGAATGATGCTTCTACCAAGTGAGCCACCAGACCAGGGCTAACCTTAGAAGAGTTTTCTATAAGCGATCTACTGGGGTGCTAGGGATCGCCTCACCCTCGGCAGAGACTGGCCTGGATCCAGGTGCGCGGCCTAAACCTAGTCAAGCGCCGCTACCTTTCCTCTGCCCAAGTGGGTCGCCTGGGACACGTGTGCGGCGCCGCCGGTGCCCGAATTTTTCGCGGCCTAAAGTTCTCGGAACGGTTCCCCTACTCTATCCTCTCGAGGCGGAGGCCGGGGCCCAGTGTGCTGTGGCCAACCTCAGGTTCTGGGACTGGCCGCCTCAGGGGTGCCTCCGTCTCATCTCTCCCACCCAGGGCCCCTGTATGGAGTCTCGCCATCCACCCAGAGCCCCGATGAACCCAATCCGGAGACCCACCAGTCCTCACCTCATGGCTGCTGCCGCAGCGCCGAAAGGAAAGAACTCCCTTTGCTCAGGCTCCTCCCATTATCTGTAAAGGGGACAGCCCATGCCCCGCTCTGCTTTCATCCGTATTCCCCTCTTGTTCTTTCACTTTCCGCCACCCTAAGCTTTACTTCCATCCTGTGTAGCGACTAGAAATAGTAGAAACCTAATATTGGGAATCATTTTAAACTTAAAAACATAGAAAATATACCCCTTTGCTAAGGCAAAGTGGTACAGCCCGACTTCCAATCAGGCAAGCGCAGTAAGGGTGCCTGATCACGTGGGCAGTGACAACCGGAAGTCAGCTGCCTTGCACAGGCGGGATAGGGCGGGCCGGTTTACTAGGATGGCCCAGTCCTTGCGGGCGTCGGGTATTTTCTGGAAGGGTGATTTATTAGTGGGGAGAAAAAACAGTGAATGAGACGAAAGAATAATAGGGCGGATGTCGGATGACAGCCATCTCTTATTTATTCTCTCCGTTGATTGCAAGCCCCTGTAATGCAGAGTAGGTCACCAAACACATTAGTTTGTTTTTGCACCCCTGGGTTCTTCATCTCTTAGTGCTTCAATGTTCCCTTCTGGAAAGTGTATCTAATCCCAATATTTCCGTAATCCAGTTGTGAAAATCCCATGAGTTAATGTTTGCAACTTGCGAAGAAGGCGTTAGGACAACAAACTCCTTGGTGGAAACGGCCTTGAGTTCACACTGTACTATGGCAGGCTTAGAGTTTAGAATAGCAATTGTCAACCTTTTCTTATCTCATGGTACATAAACTAATTACTAAAGTTCAACAGCACACCAAAGAATACCTTTTTTGCTGATCTGACAAAAAATAGGTATTATTTTGACTCATTCACACCAGACAGCTATTATTATGTTGGCTACTGTCATTTTTGGATAATCTAAGGTAGAAGAGGTCAGTGCTCCTGACTAAATAGTCAGATATTGCATGTTTTAAACATTCTTGGGCACACCAGTTGAAAAATTGCTGCCTAAGAACATAGTAAGAACTGCTTGAGAAATGGTGTATGGGCTGAGTGAATGCATAGTTGTAAAGTTGAAAAAAACTTTTTAAATATTTCATTTAAAAAAAAAATTAGAGAGAGGGGAAGGGAAGGAGAAAGAGATGGAGAGAAACATCAATGTGTAGTTGCCTCTCACATGGCCCCCCACCGGGGACCCAGCCGCAACCCAGGCATGTGCCCTGACTGGGAATGGAACCGGACCCTTTGGTTCACAGCCCGTGTTCAATCCACTGAGCTACACCAGCCAGGGGTGAAAAAATTTTTGACCTCACAACCCAGAGTTTTCTCCTCCTGGTCTAGAGTACCCAATGCAAAAACCCAGGAAGCATATTCTGGGGTCCAAGAAACCTAGATCTGAGTTCTGGCTCCAGCTTATCACCGAATCTCTCATCTTTCCTGGATGCTAAACAGAGCTCAGGTCAAAAAGAGAGAAAGGAAAGTAAAATTTATGCGATTTCCTTACATATAATTGATGTCATTTTTACGGCTAAGTGAGGTAACAGAAATTGAAAATCCAGGTCTTCCTGACTGCAAAACTTGTGCCTTCTGTAGCCAGAATCTCTTGTGCCCAAGGGGCAGATGGGAACCCTGCTCAGGACTGGATCTGCTCAGGAACAATGCTAATGGACCTCAGAGAAACAATTTAGGCTGGCCATCCTGGTGTTGCAAAACCCAGGGTGGGGAGGAGGAGGCAGTGTACTTCAGTCTGCCCTGTAGCAGGACACAGCAGGCCTCATAATAGGGTCACTGAACCTGGGCAAAGCTCCGTTCTACTTTGTATCTCTCCTCTTTGGGGAACAAGGTGAAGGGTAGATCAGAGGGGTAACATCCATCTGTCATGACTGACTCCTGCACAGCACCTTACAACATCTCCAAAGGCCAGAGTAATCTATCATTTAATTTCATTTTCCCTCATCCTCCCAATAATCCCAGGTGACAAAGACACCACAGTACCCGAAACCCCATTTCTATAAAAAGGTTGTTTGTCCAGGGCCACACAATCACAGAGTCTGAGCCAAATTGGCACTAGGTTTCTTGCTAGAATCCCCTATGTCTTTCTCTCCACAGATCATGGTAAGTGGGGTCCAGGCCTTGGATATTAGCCCCCAAATAAGGATGAAGGGGGGAGCAATCCTAGGTCAAAGGTTATTAGATTTGATTTTAGCCAGTCTCTCGTTGGGGCTCCACGTCTTCCTTCTCTTCCTTCTCCCTTCCAAGGTACATGGACCTCAACCAGCCCCATCCCGGCCTTTTGGAAGGGCCTGAGGATACTAGCGACTAGGACACAAGGACTCCAGGGTCCCTGAGATTTCTTGTTGCTCCAACTGGAGGTGAAAGAAACCAGTCAGAAAGAGCGGTTTGGAAGTGGGGCGCGGTGCCAGCCATGCCACTCCGTCTTACACCTCCATTAGCGCTTGGCATCCCCTGGTAAACCGCCCCCCTCCCCTGCCCCCAGGAGAGTTTCTACCCCTCATCGCCGCAGAGTGGGCCGCCCTCACCCCAGGCCAGTCGGAGGCCAGCTCGCGCCCAGCTACCGAAGCAGGAGCGGCGTACTTCCCTCCCGCCGCCCCTCCATTGTCTGTGCTGAGCCCGCGGAGGGGCGGCGAGGGGCGGGGCCGGGGCGGGCAGAGGGCGGGAGGAGGGGCGGGGGAGAGCGGAGCGGGCGGGGGGAGATGCTGAGCTTTCAGGGGCGGGGTAGGAGGCGGCGGCGGCGAAGGCAGAAGAGAGAGCGGGAGGAGGGAGGGAAGGCAGGAAGAAGGCAACCGCCTGCTGGGCCAGGGGGCTGAATCGGGTGCGGGCTGCGCTGCGCCGTTCTCGGTTCCGACGGCCTATCTCATGCGCTGAGGGCGCCCGGCTGGGCCGGGCGGGCGGCCGAAGGGGAGGCTCCTCTCCATGGTCCAGAAGACCAGCATGTCCCGGGGCCCTTACCCACCTTCCCAGGAGATTCCCATGGAGGTCTTCGACCCCAGCCCACAGGTGAGGCGTGGTGGTCGGGCGGAGGGAAGGGAGCCCCTTCCGCGGACTTTGTGGGGTCGGCTCGAAGGGCTCTGGGGAGGAAGGGGTTATGTGCTCGGCGCAGAGGGGAGAGGGGCGCCTGAGCGCCCCCAGTCTCTGCGGGTTAATGATTGATGGGCGCTTGGCCCGGAATTGGGCTGCGGTTTTGCGGAGCCGGAGGGGGCGGTCGGGGCGCCTGTCACCCTCATCTCCTCGTCTCCCCCCACGATCGGGGTCCCTGCTACTCGGGTACCGGCTCCAGAGGGCTGAGAGTGGGGGTATTGGCGGAGGATCCCGGGGTTGAGGGAGGCTAGAGAGCAAACCCGGGCAATGTGGGCGACGCAGAACACACTCATGGGCGCTGGGCAGGGGTGGGTGGGGCGGGGGTGGCTTTGGAGACCGCCGAGGCGATAGTCAGAGGGCGGCGCCAGCAGGCCTTCGGAGCCGCAGACAGTGGCCCTCGAGGGTGGGGAAGGGGCCAGGCCCCCATTCCAGCCACATCCGCTACACCCCTATATTGGACCAGCTTCTCCTCCTCAACACCCACGTTATCTCTGCCTGCCCATCCTCCCCCCTACCCTCGGCCCCGGAAAAATGCCTCCAAAGTTTGGAAAGTTGGATGGATTCCAACTCCCTGCCCTGGAGGGGAAGAAGCTGAGTTACCTGGGGGTGGAGGTCGCTGCCCTACCCCCATTCACACTTTTCCAGGGGCCCCAAGGAAGGGGCATTCATTCTTGGGTGTGCTGGTTGCCTCTGGAGTGACCAGCAAGGTCTGGCATGGTCGTGTCGTGCGGGGGATTTCTCTGGAACATGCCCTTGTCTAATCTGGCACTACCCCAAGTTGAGGATAGCATTAACTCTTTTCTTGCTGTAGCCAGCCTGTAGCAACTGTAACAGCCATGATAATGTGGTTGATGGGTATGTGTGTGTGTGGCCAGGGTCAGGTCAGACCTAAAAATACCTCCCTCCTCCACCCCAGGCCCCTTGGAGCCTGGAAGGCAGCTGGCTGGGGCCTTCCTTTCAGCTGTCCCTTGTCCCTCTGGGTGCCACTCCCTTTTCGCACCAGACTAGGGTGGTGGTGGTGGTGTGAAAGTCTGGGGTTTACTGGGGGACGCTCTTAAATTTGTAGAGATCCTGAATCCTAGAGGTTGGGTATATATTTGGTTTGAAGAGCAGGGTGGGAGGGAGGATTCTGGGGTTCCCAGGTACCCTTCTCTCCTGTCTGTCCATCCCCCTTCTTGTACTCAGGCCCAAGGAACCAGAGAGCCTAGTCTGGTCATGGCTTATCTACCTTCTTTGGTAAAGATACTCAAGGATGCAGGCTGGGGGCAGGGGCTTGGAGGGCCTGAACCCTCAGTCATCACCGTCTATTCTGGACTGGTCTGGGGCCCAAGTGTGTGTGCGAGTTGAGGAGGGCAAAAAAAGCAGCCCCCTTACAGGAGGCCTGGAAATACCTGAATGTGTGGCTGCTGGAGCGATGAGGCTGTTGTCCACTCCAGTCAAGTTGGAAGCCTAGCCAGCAAGACTGAGCCAGCCTACCCCAGGGATTTGTGGGGGCTGTGTCCCAGGCTCATCTTGGGGCAGGGCCAAAGGAGCATTTAGATGGATGCAGCCTGGTGGGCACCATGGGGACAGGATGTAGGCAGTGCCTGCGGGGGGGGGGGGGGAGTGGGTGGAGGCTTGATCCCTCTTGCCCCCTTGAGAGAGGCGTGGCCACCGTGATTGTGAAGAGAGGCCTGAGAAAAAGTCCTGCCAGGGTGACGGGTGCTGAGCGCAATCTACCCCATGGCACTGGGCTGGGTTCCACATTCCCTTTCCAAACACCTTTTCACGCCCCTCACCCCCTCCCAGGAAGTCTAGTTTTGGGTTTCCAAGAGCTGAGAGCTGCAACTACCCTCCCCAGTCTGCAAAAAAAGAAAGCAAGAGTTGGGCATGAGAAATGCCAAGCTGGGCCCCGTTGGCAGTTGGCAGTTGGCAATTACTCTTCTCTCTGGGGGCCACAAGCACACTCAGCCACCCTCCGCTCTAGCTGGAGGGGAGAAGAAGGGGGACTTTCTCCAGATCTCTTTACCTGTGCCCCCCAGCCCCCCAGCACTGCAGGCAGCCTTTCCCTTCCCTTGAGGCCTCTGCAGCCTGCCCAGCATCTTAATTAGCTTTGTTGCCTAATGAGCCTCCAGCTACTTAGCACCTCCTCCTTCCCAGCCTCTCTGGCTTCGTTTGGGGGTTTCTGTGTGCTCTTCCTAGGGCTCTCTTGCACTATCCTGCACCCCATGACTGTGGTCTGGGCCCCCTCCCCCTCGGGCTGTACCATCTCAGAAGGAAAATAGGGGTGCCATTCAGATCAGGGAATGGTGTTTCCAGGCTTAGTTGTAGCTCTGGGCCTGATGGAGTAACGGTTGGGAAAGGGCCTTTCTGATTCTGCTCTTGTCCCTTCCTGGCTTCTCTAGGGCAAATACAGCAAGAGGAAAGGGCGGTTCAAAAGGTCAGATGGAAGCACGTCCTCGGATACCACATCCAACAGCTTTGTCCGCCAGGTAACAGGGAGGCTGGGCTGCGAGGAGGGTGGCGCCTGGTTGGTGGAGCCCAGCATTGGTGAGCTGGGTCTGAGGCTTTCTCCAGACACCCTCCCCCATGTCACTTGTCACCTGCCTGGAACCACCCATTGCACTGACACCCCCTGACCTCTCCTGCATATACTGTCAGCTGCACCCACTCCCTCAGCCCCCGCCCAGCCCCCCCTCCCCAGCACCAGGCACCAGCCCCTGTTGCCTGCCTGCGTCATCTCATTCAGGGACAGCCTGGCCTGCCTCCTTCTAGCTTGCTTCGGGCTGTCACCCACTCCCCCTGCCGGCTGTCTGCTTCCATGTCCTCCCCCAGAATCTGTGACAGCAAGGGGTCTAGCCAAGTCCTGAGAAATGAGGAGCCAGGACATTCGAGTCCCCGGAGCCCTGGTTAGGTGTGGGTCAGGGAAATACCCTCCTCACATCCACACATGGCTGTTCTCTGACAAGCAGAGAGCAAGTGTGTTGAGGGAAGTGGGGGACTGGCAGGAGGGAATCGATGTTAGAAAGGACTTTATCCCAGCACCCCTCACTGAAGGCAGGGTCACTGAATAGCCTTATGGGGTCGTCTGTGCTCAGTCAGGAAGATGCCATTCTCATCTCTGTTCTAATTCTCAACCCCAGGCCATCTCAGGCTCAGGGAGAAGCATGTGGTTGCTATGGCTACGGAGCATCTCAACAAAGCCTGGTACCCAAAAAAGATGAGAGGGGCTTGGGATCAGACAAGGGAAAGGAGTACATTGAAGAGGAAATGGGCAAAGCATGCGAGGGCAGAGGATAGCAGGGAGGAGGGCACCTGCGGACCTCAAGCCCCCCTCGGGCCAGAACAGAGGGGATGGTGCCGGGCAGATCCCACCACACACTGAAGTGAGGGCCTTCTGTTTGATACCTGTTTCCACAGCACTTGGCACGTATGAGCCCGGGAAAGGGGCCCTTCATCCCAGCATCTCCTAAGTCCACAAATAGGAAGTCTTTTCTTTAGTCTCTCTCGAATTCCTCCTGTTGCGGGACTGGGTCAGCCCGGGCCTGGGAAAAAATGATGCTGTGCCCTCGAGTGCAACACCTCTTGACAGAAAAAGGCCTTGGCCTTCAGCCATCCAGGGTGTCAGACCCCAGCCTCTAATCCCTCCTCTTCTCAGCTCCCTAGCTCTTATCCCCAGTAGGTGGTGGGGAGTGGGGGGGCAGTCCTTGCTCCATCTCTGAGCTAAATATACCCTCCCAGTTTGCATATGTAGCAACTCTGCTTGTAACCTGAGCCCCCTGGGGGAACGGGCAGTTTGGGCCACCTCCTAGGCCAGCAGGGCCAGGCACTGAGGGCGCTGTGATGGAGGTGCCCAGCAGGACCCTGGTGGTGGTGAGCTGGGGATGGGGGGGCGGGGTGGGAGCAGCCCCTCAAGAAAGCTTGTGAGGGGGCCTCTTTGCCTCCTCACTGTTTTCCTGTCTCCCACCATTCCCGATATATCTGTGTGTGCGTATGTGTGCATGGGCACATGTGTGTGTTGGGTCAGTAGATGCCTCTCTGTCTGTCTGTCTGTCGCTGGGTCTGTTTCTCTAGCTCTTTGTGCATCTGTCTCCCTGACTCGGGTGCTCCCATCAGAAGGAGTGAAGAGCGGTAGTTAAGCTGGTTTCCACTCTCCTTCCTTCCTTCCTTCTGTTTCCCGATCTCTGTTAGTGACTCCCCCCCCCCACCAACCTTTCCCCTCGCGAGTCTCCCATGTTCGTGACTTGGCTGGGAAAAGGACGGACGGTTGCACAGCTAATGACCAGGCCCCTCTGGAGAAGGTGGGACTTGGTCTTCTCTTTTTCTCAGGTTCCCTCCATACCAAGCCAATGGGCGTTTCTGGCCAAGTGACCCCTTTATGCTCTCAGAAAAAAAACAAACCTATCTCTGCAGTCCTGTTCTTTCCCCACGTCACCTCCCACCCTTTGCAGCACTGCAGCACAGTCACACACGTCCACACTTCCTGGCTCCCGCCCTCACGTGCTGCACGCCCTCAGGGGCACTGTCCCCGAGGCTGCCCCCCTGTGTGGGCTCACGTGGACCTGTCTGCATCCAGTCATGACACCCAGCACATAGCATAGAGCACACCCTCCTAGACAGACCTGAAGTCGCACACCCAAGCACACCCATGAGTAAGTGTGATCATTCACACTGCAGGCCTGGACCAGCTGCGTGTGCCTTCCATCACTGAAAAAGCTGTGCCCTGGGATGGTCAGTGGGGTCACAACCAGCTTCCTGGCACACCCTGACTTCTGACTTCTGACCCTGGCAGCTGCAGCCCCAGTGTTAAGGAAAGGCCTGCCCCATGTTCTACTCTTAACTTGCCTCTTCTGCCTCTACCGTCTCAGGAATATTGGACTCCCTTATCTAATGAGAGCCTGAGGGTTGGGACTCCCTTGATTCTGTTAGGGACGGTAGAATCCTGTCTTCCCTCACCCTTGAGCACAAGATAGCAGACTTTTTCGTGGCCCTACCATGCCAAGCAGGCTGCCCACTGCCAACGGTGCAGAAAGCTCAGAGGTACGCTGGTGGCTACAGTCCCTGGAAAGACCCACTGGGCTTCTGCTGAGTCTGTCCCAGCTAGTGCTGGGGGCAGGGGAGAGAATGAGGAGCAGGGAGGGGAGACTTGTCCCCTGGCACTCCTCTCCTGCGCGGTGCCCCTATCAGATTCCCACCCCTCCCTGGGCCCCAAGCAGCTGTCCTTGGACCTGCCTTAACCCCTGGCTCGCTGCTGCCACCCTTTCTAGGGCCGCACTCTTCCTGTGGGCCTGCAGACATCAGTGCCCGGTCCCTCCCATCTAACACCATCTTCTACGCCTTGTGGCATCCTGCTGGGCTGCCTGGGACTTGAGGCCTCCATGACGGGTGGTACCTCCACGCCTTCCAAGGCCCAGGAACTGGCGAGGCAGCTTCGGCCCTGCACTGGCCCTGAGCTGGCCCTGTCTGTTTTCAGGGCTCAGCAGAGTCCTATACCAGCCGCCCATCGGACTCTGATGTGTCTCTGGAAGAGGACCGGGAAGCCTTAAGGAAGGAGGCAGAGCGCCAGGCATTAGCCCAGCTTGAGAAAGCCAAGGTGAGAAAGGAGGGAGGGATGGTGCTGTCTTATTCCAGCCACCCCCGGGCCTGGGAAACAGCCTGGCCTGTCCCAGGTCCAATTTCGGCCCAGCCACTTCCTAGACTTTATACCTCCGGGCCTCAGTGTGATTGTGCCTTTGCCTTTCACCCGTGAAAGGTAGGCTGTGACGCCTGCCTCCTTATACAGCATGATAAGTGTCCACTGCAGTCTAATCCTATTTCCATGTATAATAAGAGCTTGAGAAGGGCAAAACATTTAACACTTCCTTTTGGAGGTAACATTTCTGGGCTGCTCTTACTGGCTGTGTAATCTTAGGCAAGTCATTTAACCTTTCTGAAATTTAGTCTCCTCACTGATCGAAATGAAGACAGTAATACTTCAGAGGATTTTTGTGATAAATAAATGCATGTGAAATATGTGGCGTGGTGCCTGGCACACTCAATAGTAGATGATAATGATAATTCCCTCCGGGTGTCATTCTGGGCTCCCCCCCTCCTAATACTTATCATTCCCCACTGGCCCCTCCACCCTGAGAGGGCCAAGTTCTATTTTTTGCTTTCTTTTTAATTGTAAATTTCACATAAATACAAAAAAAATGACATACACCATTCAGTATACCTTTTAATAAACAGTTTATCAAACCTGTATATTCTCAGCACCGCAGTCAGGAAGTTGTCCACTGCCCTGTGGTTTAACCATCCGGTTGTCGCCCTCCCCGTGTGCCTCCTCTAGACCAAGCCGGTGGCGTTTGCTGTTCGGACAAACGTCGGCTACAACCCGTCTCCAGGGGACGAGGTGCCTGTGCAGGGAATAGCCATCACCTTCGAGCCCAAGGACTTCCTGCACATCAAAGAGGTGGAGGGAGCACGTGGCATCTGGAGGGAGGGCAGGGCCGTGGGTGCTGGGAGAGGAGGCGTCTGGAACTGCAGTGGAAAAAGAATTTTGAGCTGAGCAGAGAGCTGGGCTGAGTCTGCTGTGCTTCCTTGGACAAGTCTCTCCACCTCTCTGAGCCTCTAATTTTTCGTTGGTAAAATGGGGTGGTGGTGCCCACGTCACCAGGTTGTTGGGCGGGTTTGTGACGAGGCCTATAAGTGGAGTGGCAGTTTACCAGGCACATGTATGTGTCAGCAGTCACCTCTCTCCCTGCCTTTCCAGGGCAGGGCACCCACATGTGGGGAAGAAGGACTCTCAGAACAGGGGTGTGCTGGGGGCGGGGTGGTTTATGGCCCCAGAGGATGCTTTTCCTGGAATTGTCCTGAAAATGGGGGCCGTGCTCAGATGCTGGAGCTGGGGGTGGGGCTCTTTGAGGGGGCCACCCCTGGGGAGGGCAGGCAAGTCCAAGGGTGGTTTCCCCTGCAGGACGGTGGCCGGCTCACACCTCCAATCTCCCTCTTGGTCTCTCCCACCCCACCTGCCGTTGTTTGCAGAAATACAATAATGACTGGTGGATCGGGCGACTGGTGAAGGAGGGCTGCGAGGTTGGCTTCATCCCCAGCCCCGTCAAACTGGACAGCCTGCGTCTGCTGCAGGAACAGAAGCTGCGCCAGAACCGCCTCAGCTCCAGGTGTCTGGCAGGGGCCCTACCAACCCCGGGAGAGGCCTGCAGGGTGCACCATTGCCCTGAGGGCACAGAGCTGCCTGTGACACCACCAGTGGGGCGGGAGAATCGTGGGGGCAGGACAGCATGTGAGAGAACAAGACTCCCCCGCCCTCACACCCACCCCTTGGCTCACAGCTCCATTTTTCTCTCTGCCCACACAGCAAATCAGGTGACAACTCCAGCTCCAGTTTGGGAGATGTGGTGACTGGCACCCGCCGCCCCACACCCCCTGCCAGCGGTAAGAGCCACCGCCTCCCCAGGGAGTTGGGGGAAGCTCCTGGGCGGGACGGTCTCCCCACTTCCTTTCCCTCCTTCCCCCGCAGTAGTGGGCACCCCTGTCCTGAGTCCTCCACACACACCCAGTGGTCCCCTCTCCGTGAAGAGTAGGACGCTCCACAAGCTGGGCCCGTCGACGCCCATCCTCTCATGTCTCTCCTCTCCCATCTCTTCGGTAGCTCCATCTCTCTGCCTGACTCCCTCCCCCAACCCCCCATTCATTTCTCCCAGCCCTGTTCCATTCACCTCTTCTTCTTTCTTTTTTCCCCATCCCATCCCTGCGTTCTGTATGTGTGTCTCCATGTCCATCTCGCTCCTCCCCACCTCGCCTCCCTCCTCCCTCTCTCCCGACTCTGCGGTCCAGGTAACGAAATGACTAACTTAGCATTTGAACTAGACCCCCTAGAGTTAGAGGAGGAGGAGGCCGAGCTCGGGGAGCACGGCGGCTCTGCCAAGACTAGTGTTAGCAGCGTCACCACCCCGCCGCCCCACGGCAAACGCATCCCCTTCTTTAAGAAGGTAATTCCTGCTGGGTTCTAATGAGAGGGGAGGGGTCAGTGCCCAGATCTTTGGCAGGGGAGGGGGCCAGAATGGACTCGGATTTGGTAGCAGCCTGACTCCGTGGGGATCTGCCGAGGCCGCGGGAGCGATGGGATGGCACAGGGAACAGGCACATCTGTCCCCACACCACTCTACCCTGGCCGCTCAGCAGAAAGGGACCGTTCTTGTCATGGAAGCACCCCTTCTCTTGGGGGGCTCCCCCCTCTCCCCGCTCCCCCACCGGAAGTAGGGTCTGGTGGTGGTGAAACCTGACCTTTGCCTCACTGCGGTGGGATAGTCCACATTTACCCCCCACCCCTGAACGTGAAGCGGGGAGCTGGGCAGTGTCCCTTCCTTGCCCTTTTCGAACTCCGGGTCTGGGGTGGGCATGTGAGGGCCCACTGGCTACGGAGCAGGACAGCTAAGGGAACTCTTAAAATGGGCAGGTCAGCCTGTATTGGGCGTAAGAGGTAGGGACCAAATTAGGGGCCGTCACCCTTCCCGGATCTTTTCCAAGACCGAGAAAGGGGGGGCTTGGTATGTCTGAATGTTCTCCAGACCCCTGGACTGACTGACAGGCCCACTCCCCGCCCTGATCCAGGGCCGTCTCTGGCTCCCCCTGGCATGGGGTCCCGCCCCCTCTCTCTGGCTCTGTCTGTCACTAACACGCATGCCCTGTTATCTCTCTTCGTCTGCCCGCTCCCCCTCCCTCTCTTGTCCTGGCTCCTTCCTTGCCCTCTGCCCCTGCCTGGGTGCCCTCCCTTCTCTTCCTCCCTCCCCCCTCTTGGCAATCTCTGGACCCAGCCAAACAGAAGCAGAAGTCGGTGAGTATCACAGCTTTCTGTGTCCCCCTCCCTACGCCCCGGGATGAGCTAGGGGAACCTTCTAACACCCGTCCCCGTATCTGCCCCATTTCTCGCACCCGTCCTGGTTCTCCCTGGCCATCCCTCCCCACCCTCCCCCTGATCCCCACGTCTGGGCTCTGGGAGCAGGGGAGGAGAGGATGCATGGGGAGCCTGGAGGCTGGGGTAGAGGGGCTGATGCCATCTCCACTCCGGGGTTTCCCTTCCCTGCTTCCCCTCCAGACAGAGCATGTGCCCCCCTACGACGTGGTGCCTTCCATGAGGCCCATCATCCTGGTGGGACCGTCGCTCAAAGGCTATGAGGTAGGTCCCCCCAGAGGGGAGCGGACCCAGAGGGGCCCAAACCTCCAGAGAGACGCCAAAGGTTCAGACACCAGAGAGAGTCCTTCAAAGGGCCCGGGTTCCCAAGTGTCCTCTCCAGAGGGTACAGACCCGAGAGGAATGTCCCAGAGGGACCTAACCCACAGGGAGACCCACTCGGAGGGTCCAGTTCCTTCCCCCCAAATCCCCAGAAGAGTCTTCCCAGAGGTACCACGTAGAAGGACCTTTGGAATCAGAGCTCCTTGGAAGCTCCTCAGACTCAGAAGGATTCCCCAGCCCCAAGCTCCCAGTCATCTCAGGAACTGAAGAACAAAATGGAATGTGAGGGTGCAAATACCCAGCAGCCCACCGTTGCTGAGGGGGTTTAAAGGTCTGACTTCTCCCCCTACCCTGCTCCCCACCCTCAGGTTACAGACATGATGCAGAAAGCTTTATTTGACTTCTTGAAACATCGGTTTGATGGCAGGTAAGACCCTGGGAGCTAGCTGCCCACCCCCGTTGCAGTCCTCTGCTACTGGTGACGGGCAGGTGGCTTGAATGACAATTTTGGGATTCTTGGACAGGGGAACAGAAGGCAGGCCTGGAGCTTGGGGAGTGGGCGGGGCAGTCCAGCCCACCTGACCCCTGACTCCCTTTGCCCTGTCCCCCAGGATCTCCATCACTCGCGTGACAGCGGACATCTCCCTGGCGAAGCGCTCCGTCCTCAACAACCCCAGCAAACACATCATCATTGAGCGCTCCAACACGCGCTCCAGCCTGGGTGAGCCTGCCCCTTAATTGCCCCCCCTGGGGCCGGGCCTGGGAGAGGTGGGGCGTGGGGGGCATCCCCAGAAGTGTTCTGTCCACCCACTGACTCAACTCGGGGCAGTGCTCACCTCCATTCTCCCGTCTCCGCGACTCCGTGTTTCCTCAGCTGAGGTTCAGAGCGAGATTGAGCGAATCTTCGAGCTGGCCCGGACCCTTCAGTTGGTCGCCCTGGACGCCGACACCATCAACCACCCAGCCCAGCTCTCCAAGACCTCACTGGCCCCCATCGTTGTTTACATCAAGATCACCTCTCCCAAGGTGGGTTCAGGAGCCTGACCCTGGACGGGACAGGGGTGCTTGGGAGTCTGGCTGCCTATTTGAATCCCCACCCCTGCTTCCTAATTACGTGCCTTCATAGCCGCAGGTTTGCTTTCCTTCTCTGTAAAACTCCGTCATATATGGACATCGTGAAGATTCAGCCTGATTTGAATACTTTGTACTTAGCAAAGGGTCTGGAATAACGTACCTCATTGTGTATTGGCTATTAATATTGTATAAATATTCATATAAGTATTGTTATTAGGGTCGTGTGGGCCAGTCCCCTGTCTCCGCTCTGGTTGGCCTCCCATTCTTGGTCCAGAAAACAGAGAATTCTGTGCTCATTGTCCCAGGAGCCACCCAGCTACTTGACAGTTGGGAGGTCCTTCCTGTCCCTTGATTTCAGCCCTTTTTGCTGCACTGTCCTTATGCGGACCTTGATAGAGATGAAATCGGTCGGAAGGCTGATTCACTTCGTCATACTGCAGCTCCGTTAGTTTTCCCTCCTAGACATTAGTGGGGGAGGGACACAGGGCAGGTGCAGGTGGAGTGGAGGTTTGAGAACACGGAGGACAAGTGTAGGACAAGGATTTGAAGTGAGAAAACAGCATGGGGTTCCAATTCTAGCGCTGGTTGGCTTATTAATGAGATTTTGCTGGCTTTTTGGCTGTTAGAGTCTCAATTCTTCCCCTATAGAGTAGGGATTATAATCCCTCCCTGCATTATTGAGGAGAGGGTTTGAGGTAATGATATGAAAGAGCCCAGAGTTCATAATGGCAATGGGAGTGGTGACTGTTACTATCTCAGGATAGCACCCCGTGAGCTGAGCACCCAGTTGCTTCACCATAACCTCCGAGTCCTACGTTTCTAATGAGCACAAAGGGAATGATGGGATCTAAGTACTTCCTGGGGTGGCTGACAGGCTCAAACATGATAATGGATGCAGAAACAGCCGGTGAACTAGAAAGCAGCAGTGCGTCCATCTTCCCCACGGACGAGCACTGGCTGAGGTTGATGGTGGGGACTCTTTCAGAGTCCGGACCACCCGGGTTTCTGCCCCAGGGATGCGCTCCTTCGGCAAGCACCTGACATCTCTAGGCCTCAGTTTCCTCATCTGTAAAATTGGGATCCTCAAATGGTGGGTGGTGAAGGCCAAATAAATGGACTAACCATATAAAGTGGCTGGTACCTACTAAGCACTATATTCTTTTCTTTTTTAAAAAATTATTTATTTATTTATTTTTAGAGAGAGGAGAAGGGAAGGAGAAAGAGAGGGAGAGAAATATCAATGTGCGGTTACACTCCATTCTGGGGACCTGGCCTGCAACCCAGGCATGTGCCCTGACTGGGGATCAAACCAGCAATGCTTTGGTTGGCAGTTCATACTCAATCCACTGAGCTACACCAGCCAGGGCTCTTTTTTTTTTTAAGGTTTTTTATTTTAGAAGAGTTGCAAGAATAGTTCAAAGAACTCTCATCCTTTGAATATCCTTTACTCAGAGTCACTAATTTTTTTTTTAATTATTAACTGATTTTGGAGAGAGAGAGAAAGAAGGGAAGAGGAGACTGGTGTTCCACTTGTTCATGCATTCACTGGTTGATTCTTGTATGTGCCCATCCAAGGCTCAAACCTGCAACCTTGGTGTATCAGGACAATGCTGTAACCGACAAGCCAGGGCCTTGCTAACTTATTTATTTATTTTGGACAGAGGGGAGGGGAGGGAGAAGGAGAGGAAGAGAAACATTGATTGGTTGCCCCGGACCAGGAGTTCAACTGAACTGGCCATTTGGTCCTCAGACTTTCTTGGGTTTTCATGACCCTGACATTTTTGAAGAGTACAGATCACTGATTTTGTAGAATGTTCCTCCGCGTGGGTTTGTCTGATGTTTTCCTCATGACTAGATTTAGGTTTTGCAATTTTGGTTGGAATGTCACCCACGCGATGCGTTGTCCTGAGTGCAGTGCGTCAGGGGGCAGATGATGTTGGTTTGGTGCGTCGTTGGTGATGTGAACTGCAGTCGCTTAGTTAAGGTCTGTTGTAGATACTGTCGTTATCGGTACTGGGTGGGACTAATAACAGTGTTCCCCTAATGGGATTATTGTCGGGACTGAATGGACCGATCATTTAAAAAGTACCAGGTAGTACCGGTACATAGCAAGTGCCCATGCAGCGTGGCGGTCATTAGCATGGAGGGGAGTTGGCCTGGACAGTGAGGCCTGTGAAGGAGGCTGGAGGAGATGGGCCGAGTGCCCTTCATACAGCCACTGCTAGGAGAACTTTCCAGGGCAGGCCGGTGTAAGACCCAGGAGAGAGCCAGAGCATTGTGTAGGGTGGACAGAGAGCAGGAGCAGTGATTTCTAAAGAGGTGGCCAGGGATGAAAGTCATCAAACATCCCCCAGCCCTGACACTGGCTCGCCGCGCTGGCTTCAACCAGGACCTGCCTCTCCGACTGGTGTGTTACAGAGGTCCTTGTAGCTCTTCTTCTCCCCCCCAAACCAGGTACTTCAGAGGCTCATCAAGTCTCGAGGGAAGTCTCAGTCCAAACACCTCAATGTGCAAATAGCGGCCTCGGAGAAGCTGGCGCAGTGTCCCCCCGTGAGTGCTCAGACCCAGGGGAAGGGGAGCATTTGGATTCTGGTTTCCACTGGCCTGCATGGGAGACTGGAGGGACCAGAGCACCTGGGCCAGCCCTGTACGTGCCGACTGGTTTTCCAGGAAAGGGGGTTGGGCAGACAGTCAGAGGCTGGCTTCAAGCCCCAGAAGTACCACCTCTCTCTGTGGAATCTAAACCTTGGGTGCTTTAACTCTAGAATGAGGGAGCTGGACTGTGCGGGCGCCAAGGCCTGTTACAGCTCTGCCAATGCAGAACTAATCTGAGAGCCCTCCTTCTCTTCCTGGACATCCAGAAGTCTCTTTTAACTTTGCCCTTCAACCCCTTGACTCTCCACCCACTGTGCCCAGGCCACACCCTCACCCCCTAGGTCTTGCCTGTCTCATCCTAGCCCTGCTCCTAACCCCACCTCCACAGGAAATGTTTGACATCATCCTGGATGAGAACCAATTGGAGGACGCCTGCGAGCACTTGGCTGAGTACTTGGAAGCCTATTGGAAGGCCACACACCCGCCCAGCAGCACCCCACCTAACCCGCTGCTGAACCGAACCATGGCTACTGCAGCCCTGGCCGCCAGCCCTGCCCCAGTCTCCAACCTCCAGGTACAGGTGCTCACCTCACTCCGGAGAAATCTCAGCTTCTGGGGTGGGCTGGAGGCCTCCCAGCAGGCCAGGGCGGTAGCCCCGCAGCAGGAGCACGCCATGTAGGTGCCCAGCCCATCTCCTCTCCTGCCCAGGGCCTGGAACTGGAGTGCAGGGAACTGGGAGAAGGAAGGCAAGAACTTTATTTTGTAAAAAAAATGTGGCGACCAGCAGCTTCTGGTGTCTGTGGTTTTTGATGGGTGTGGGACTGGCCCGTGGTGCTCCTTTGGCCCAGTCCCACAGCACTGTGTCCGCCGCCTGGGCTGATTTTGGGGTGTGAGGCCTGATTGGGGACCCTGTAAGACAAGTGACTAGGAAGAAAGAAAACATGGGGGAGATGAATAGATTTCTTTGAGGGACTCCATCCCCATTCTGGACCCAATAGTGATCACAGCATCGTAAACCCAGCAGAGGAAGGAATCCTGCAGAGCGGGAGCCTTTAAATCTGGAGAGACTGTCCCCTCCCCTAGACCCCTTACCTCAGGAGGCCCCTCAGAAGGGACCTAGAATGTAGGATCCTCTGTGATCGATGCTCAGCCTTCCATTCTTCTCCCAGTTAAACCGATTCCAGGAAAGGCCCTCCTGTGGCGGCCCTGCCCTGCCTCTCCCTCCTCCCGGGGGAGCCCTGGCCCATCTCTGAGCGCACATCATTAAGTATTCGGTTCTCAATTAGAGCCAGAAGAAAACCATTCTGGACCATTGCCTTTCAAATTTGTTTTCAGCAACAGAGTCTCTTTGTTCACTGAATCTTAAGTGGAAGTTCTTGCTCTGCTCAGAGGGTGCCGGTGGCTTGGCCGCCACTTCACTCACGGGGACCCCTGAAGCACTTCTGTGCCCTCCCCACTGCACCCCAGATCTCTGGGAAACAGTGTGGAGACCGCCGCTCCAGTCTCCATCACACCGCCACAGAGAAACTGGGCCATAGCAAGGGGAGCCGTTCACTTAGGGTCACACAACGTAAGGGGGCTGGACTAGGGCCCAGGCCTCTTTGCACCCACCCGGCAGCCTCTGCGGTGGAAGTGGGCATCAGGTCACCTTCATGTGGCATTTGGTAATGAGGACATTGGGTCACCTCATTGTCTTCTGTGGGGGACGGAGACCCATCAGCCTTCCCTATCCCCATGCTTTGAGTTTTTGCTGGGGCAGAGGAGGAATTCTATCATCTGACCAGGGGCAGGAGAGTTCCGGGTTCTAGAAGCCTCTGAATAGGGTCTGGTTTGGGCTGAAGGAGCTGGGGTTAGTGAGCTTGAGCTGAAATATCCTTAGTATATTTGGAAAAGTGGGGCACTGACTAACCCAATCAACCACTAACAAGTGGCAATACTAATGAGCTGTTAATGATGATTTACCCCAAGACAGCGTTAATGATGTGGGTTGAGGAAGCCGTGACTCATTTTTCATGGGCTCTGTACCCTAGTTACCAGGAGAGTTCACGCTTCCTCGGCCTTAGGAAGATTGGGCACCCCTGCCCCAACTGAGGAGCAATGCCCTGAGTTCCGTCTGGCTGGGCTCTGGAGCCCTTTGCCGGGCTACATCCCCTAGAGCCAGCCCCCTGCTCCCTCAGCTGGGCTGGTGCCTTGGGGCTGGTGCCTTGGTGCCCTCACTAACCTGCCTTGCTTTGTTGTGTTTCTCTCACCCCTGCCTGATCTGCATGGTTTGTGCCGTCTGTCTGCTAACCAGGGACCCTACCTTGCATCCGGGGACCAGTCGCTGGAACGGGCCACCGGGGAGCACGCCAGCGTGCACGAGTACCCCGGGGAGCTGGGCCAGCCCCCAGGCCTTTACCCCAGCAGCCACCCGCCAGGCCGAGTGGGCACCGTGCGGGCACTGTCCCGCCAAGACACGTTTGATGCCGACACCTCTGGCAACCGAAACTCTGCCTACACGGAGCTGGGAGACTCGTGTGTGGACATGGAGACTGACCCCTCAGAGGGGCCAGGGCTTGGAGACCCTGCTGGGGGTGGCACCCCACCAGCTCGTCAGGGATCCTGGGAGGATGAGGAAGACTATGAAGAGGAGCTGACTGACAACCGGAATCGAGGCCGGAATAAGGCCCGCTACTGCGCAGAGGGCGGGGGTCCGGTGCTGGGACGCAACAAGAATGAGCTGGAGGGCTGGGGGCGAGGTGTTTACATCCGCTGAGAGGTAGGGGCCACCCTGTCGGAGGAAGGGCTCTGAGACCAGAGATGGGGAGGGACAGCAGGCTCACCACTGGGGGTGTATCTGGCCTCCAGGGGGCGCTGTCTCATTTCAGATGCCTTTGCTCAACGTTTGGGATTTCTTCGTTGGTTGATGCCCAGCTTCTGGGAGTCCCTTAAACCCCAAGCTGTAGGTTTTTATCTACCTGCGGTGAATGGATGGGGGCATGCCCACCTGTCTGCAGTGTCCCCTTTTCCCCACCTCAGGGGTCTCTCTCCCCTCTCCCAGAGAAAAGGTGCACTTCCTTAACTCTTTCTACCTGGGGCTCTAAATGGGGTTGCCCTTTCTTTTCCAACCTGGAATATTTAGTAAAGGTAGGAGGCTTTTCCAGGAGAAGGAGACCACAGACTTTCCCATGAGGTTTCCCTTCCCGAACTCCAGATCCAGGGCCCCTCCTCATCCCCCCAGCTTTCTGGCAACATTCTCTGGTAGGAGAAAGCTACAGGATGGAACTCCCTGGGGGAGGGATCTGGGTAGAAACCTAAGGGCAGCAGATGCGGTGCCATCTGCCCGCCGAGGACCTAACCCTGAGGAGTGGGCAACCTGAGATGCTGCTACCTGCCCCCCTCCATGCCTCAGCCTTTACCTGCCCCAGGAATGAGCTTTGCCCACAACATTCCATGTCTGCTGCCATCAGAAGGGGGGCTTTCTGTGTCTGAGCCTCCCACCCCGTCCCCTGGGTGTGGAGCCCTGGGAACACTTCGGTCCACCTCATTTTGAAACCAAAAACTGCTCACTCACTTTCACCCTGAAAACCCAGGAGAGAGGCCTTTGGGTTGGTGCTCAAGAAACGATCACCACCCCAGGGGTTGCCTCGGGACCACGGATCTCCCCTGGGGGGCTTGGCTGCTGCTGCTGCTGCTGCTCTGTATCTGCCTCTTGTGATCCTCTTTACCCCTGTCCACTCCACTGCCCCCAGGAGAGGCCTTCACACCCCCTCTGACCTGGCGTGTCCCTCTGCCTAGCATCCCCGCAGCCCAGCAGCCCTGCCCCTCCCCAGCACCCCAGCTGGGCCAGAGAGAGCCGACTGTGCCAATGAGGACTGGGCCCTGCCCGGCTGCCCACCTCAGGGATGGGTGCCTCATGCCTGTCTCGCCACCTCCTGTGCCAGTGTTGCCCGCCCCCCCCCCACCGGGGGCCGGGGTGCAGCTTCCACTTACTGGTTAGAAGAGACTACTCCTGTCTGGTCCCCCGTGTGCCCCCCCATCTGTTCCTCTGTACTCCCCTAGGAGAAGTATTTTGCCACATATAAAACCGCCATCCTGTCCTTTGCAGCAGCCTCCCAAGCCTGCTTTGTTGCCACTGCAGACTTGCCAGCCTAGGGGAGTGGGATCTGCTGACATGCAGGGGGGTGGGAGGGGTGCAGAAATAAGCTGTGTGTGGGGTTGTTCACTCCACGGGTGGCTCCGATGCATTGCTTTTGAGCCTGACAGGAGGTGTGTGGCCAGTCTCAGCCCCCAAGCCCCACAGCTAACCCACCTTCCCACAAGTAGAGTCAGGGAAATGGGGTGTCATAGGTGTTGTGCAATAGGTGAGATCCACACCCACTGGCACAGTGTCTTACAGGTTTGTGCTCATTTTTCTGCTTCTGTGGTGTCAGCTGCTCCCCACACCTCATGAGAGAGAGGGACTGAGTTCCTGGCTTTCTTCACTGAAGTCCCTTCACTACCCACTTGCAGGCCCCAAGTTGGGGGAAGGGCAGAGAGAATAGGGACTACCCCAGTCCCAGCCTGAGAGATCAAAAAAGCAGGTGACTGCCTGTTCCTGCCACCAGCAGCTGGCAGGAAGTGGACTTCTAAAAGTTGTTATTGCTGTCACCTGTATCTTTTCTCACGTAGCACCCACAAACCATTCTTCCACTTTGCTGGTTCTTGGTTCTGGGGCAGTGGTGGACCTGAAGAACTAGAGCTCTTGGGTCTCTACCCTGAGTGCCCTTCTATGTCCTGTGTGTCTGCATGTGTATAGAGGGCAACAGACATCCAGACCCCCCCCCCATGAGGGGTTAGCAGCCCCAGGGAAAGAGGAACTCGGCAGACCCCCAGGTACGGTGGCTGGCTCAAGGTCTCCAGGAGTGGATGGCAAAGCTCGCACTGCTGGGACTGGAGACCAGTCTCTGCCTCCCTGGGTAGTGCTCTCTGCACTTGCCGATCAGTGCAGTCCTTCATTCCCAGGTTGATTCACTGAACCAGCATTTGCTGAGCACCTACTGTGCACCAGGCACAAGTCTAAATGGGAGCCACAGGCAATTCAGGACAGCACAGTGAGCTCTGATGTGGGAAGCACCGGGCCCTGGGGAACCCAGAAGGAGGGTCACTCCCTGAACCGAAGCAGATCAGAAGGTGCTTCCTGGAGGAAGTAAGGCTTCGGGGGAGATGAGAAGCAGAGAAATGGGGGGAATTTCCAAGGCAGAAAGAACAGGTGACATGCAGAACATGTTCTTGGGCTTCACCCAAAAAGCGTGCTCCAAAGCTGTGGTCAGAGGGGTGTGGGTAGGAGCAGGTCAGGGGCCTTGAGTCATGTTAAGGAGTTTGCACTTTGTCCTGAAGCTGGTGTGCAGAAATTGAAAGACTGTAAGCAGTGATGGCAAGATTGCCTAGGTTGCAGTTTGGAGCATAGATGGGGGCTGGTCCAGCCTGGAAACCTGCCATACTGCAGGTGAGAGATGAGGGGGCCTGCATCAGGCTCAGCAGTACAATGGGAAATTAGGCTGTGGCTGCCAGAGATGTCTAGTCGTTGGAATCACGAGCCCTCCAATCACGAGCCCTTGATTGGAGGTGGCCAGTGAGAGAGAGGGAGGTGTCGGGAGAGTGTGGGTCACAGAAAGGAAGCAGGTTAGAGGCAGAAATGATGTCTGGCTTTGGACAGGGTTTATGATGCCGTGGGAGGACATCCAAGAGGAGAGCAGAAGGCAGCTGGGTGCTTGGTCAGGAGCTCGGCAGAGAGCTCTACGCAAGGTGGAGCCTGATATTTTGAATCGAGGATAGGGATTGTAATGAACTCCAGTTTACAGATAAAGCTCAGGGAGATAAAGCAACTTATGCATAGTTAACACGGCCATGGAGCAAGAACTGGGGACTCAGGTTTTTGGATCTCAAGTTCTGTTTGTCCCTGATGCCCAAGTCTAGGGCTAATTCCCCTGCCCCAAGATGGCCCAGCTTCTGTGAGGAGAGCGGGTCAGAGAGGAGGAAGCAGGTGTTTGAATACGTTTCTGCCTCCTCCCCATGTGCCTTCTGCCTGAAATTGCATTTGCCCGTAGCTTACAGGCAGGGGTATTTCTAGGTGGCTTGAAAGTATTGAGAATAGAGAGAGATTCTTGTCTCTTGGTAACCGCAAGCCCTCAACTGTCACACAGCCAGCACATCGGTGGTTGTCCACACGTGAGGATGTCAACAACCATGAACGTCAGCTGGGACCAGGCCCAGAGAGGCTGGTTTGACTACCACAGCCACCTCCGGGGCTTGGGAACTGAGGCGCTGGGGACCCCCCTACCTGTCTAGCTGCTTCTGTTTTTGCAGTAGGTTGTGTATCAGAGTGAGCCTCAGTCCCAGGTGTGGCTGAAGGTTCCCGCCAATTGAAAATAAAATGAGCTGAGCCGAGACCACCACAGCCCAGAAGCGAGGGGGTGTTCCAGTCCAGTACCCTAGAAAAAAAAATCTCCTTTTAGCTCCAGCGATCACATCCTCGGAGAAGTGTGCCTTGGCTTCCTTCTAAATCGGGCCTTCCTACCTGCTGTCCCTCCGGTGTTTGTTTGTTTTGTGTTTTTGTTTTTGGTGTGTGTAACACAGACTGGGTCTGTTTTGTGTCCTTGGCGTGTTTCCTAACCCCTGACTCATATTTGTCAAATGAATGAAAAATGAATGAGATGCCCCTGAGAGGTCCAGGCTCTGGGTCTCACAGCAAAGGCCGCTCTTGTCTGTTTACTGAATGTGCCCCTGCTAGCGGAATGCCACTTTCAATTCTGCAATTAAATGGTGGTGGTGGTGAAGGGGGCAGGGTGCACGCACTAAGAGGTTCCCTCTCCCCACCCAGGAAACAGATGGCGAGAGTGCTAACACACGGCCGCTTCTCTCAGCGACCTCTGTGTCTCTGCCCTCCTGCACCCAGCCGAAGGCCCAGCTCCCTCTCTCCTAGGGCTGAAATGGAATCAGCCAGATGGGCTCTGCTAGCCAATTCTTCCTTCTAACGCTGCTATCCAGCTGGGTGGGGTGAAAACTCCGTATTTAGAGAACTGTTTTCTCTCTTCACAGACGTCCCAGCTTTTCTCAATCCTCTTCAACTTGTATTCACTCTCCCCCTCCTCCTCTTCCTTCTCCTTCTTGTCTCCAAACACCACTTCTCAGGCTGTGGCTTAACTCACTGTACTTTGGTCCAATAGGGACACGTCCCTACTGTGTGCTAGGCATTGGACCAGGAGGGGAGCGGGGAGGGGGGCAGAGTATGCAGCCGGGCAAGACATGACCTTGCCCTCTAGGACTCACGGGCGATTGGAAGACACAGGCATGCCAGTCTGCGATCTCAGTGTGGACAGAAGCCCCATTTGGTTGGAGAACCAGGCCCGGGCTTGGGAAGTAGGTGGCTTTTACGGCAGGCAGCTAATGGGTCTGAGGAATCTTCCATTCTGAGGGTAAGGCACTCAGGTGGAGGAAATGCAGACACCAGACATGAAAGCACAGTTGGAAAGAGCCGTGTGCGTGTGAGCCAGGGCCAGTGGATGGAAACAGGCGATAAGCTGCAAAGGCACATGGGAGGCTCTTGAATTTCGGGTGAGGAGACTGACCTGAATCCAGTGGTCAATAGGGAGCCACTGAGGGTTTATTAGCTGTGGAGTAACCCACAACTCCAAAGGTTAATATGGCTGTGAGGGAGATTCCTTGGTAAGGGGGGACAGAGGCGGGGAGACAGAGGCGGGGAGGCCAGCAGTGGCAGTGGGTGGAAGGAGCACACTCTCTCCTGTGAGGGCTGGTGTCTCCCAACCCCCGCTGCAGCCTGAGGTTGGTTTGCCTCCCCCGCTTCTGTTTCTGTTTTCTGGTTTTTCCCAGTTTAAGCAAAGGAGGAAATTCACAACCAAACAGCAGCTCCAGCCTGGGGGCGCTATTTTGCTCCACCACAGTCTTCAGGTGCCTGCCCTATGGGACCAGGGAGCCAGCTGTGCCGGAGCAGCGGGCTTGTCAGGACATCATCCTAGAGCTTGTCTATCATCAAGGGACCTGCAAAAGGAGGGAGACCCTGCCCTTCCCTTCTGCCAAGGAAACTCATTTTGAGTGGGCCCACAAAACCCCCCACGGGTGAACAACGAGAGATCTGTTGAGGATCAAGAATATTCCCCCAGCTCAGAGAGAGGATCAGTGAGCCCTGTCTACCCCACGCAGCTGGTAGGTGCAGGAGGAGGATGGCCAAGGGTTTTGCGTTCGTTTCCTGCTCCAGAGGTAGCACTAGGAGGGAGAGCAGGGATCGGTCGTAGGACGCTGCCCCGAGTCTCCTGGATTTGAAGCTCGGGGAGCAGCCCCCGCAGAGAACTCTGGGCTTTTCTCAGGATGAGGGGAAGACGTGGAGTCTGGACCTCGTTTTTCCTGCACCGCCAGGGCTCTGGACACGTAGTTTGTTGTCCCCATGAGGCCCATAACACGCGTGAGGGGTCAGCGTCCCCGGGAATTCCCAGGCCCCGAGGAGACTCGTGAGGCTTCCGTGACCTCATAGACCCCGCCCGACCCTCCTGCGGGGGCGGGGCTCCAAGCTCTGGGGCTCCACTTGGGCCCGCCAGGCCGTCAAGGCCTCCGAGTCCTGCTTCTGCCTGGCTCGGGATGCGCCATGGGGCAGCTGGTCACCAAGATGATGGGCATCTTCGGGAAACAGGGTAAGGAAGGGGTGTGCAGGGCATCCAAGTGACCTCAACCTGAAGCTTCCCGGATTGGAGTTGTCGGGTGGGTGCGCTGGGAAACCTAAGACTGGGAGGGTCCCGCGTGGGCGCTCCTTGCCTGCTGCCCAGTCTCCGCTTGTCCCTTCCTTGCCCGCTCCTCGCGGGTCGCGGGCTTCCATGCCCACCAGGGCGCAGGGCTGGGCGAGCGAACCTCCCTCCTCCGGGAGGTACCGATTCCCTCCGAGCGTGACCTCGCTCTCGGCTCTTCCCCCGGACCCTTCCTCCGGGCAAGCCCAGAGCTCCCTGCACCGCTCGGACGATCGCTGTTCTGGAAACGTGGAGCCAGGGAGATGGGGCCCCGCTCTCACTGCCACCGTCCGGGAGTGGCGCAGGTGCCCGGGACCCGGTGGGAAAGAA